CCCCGTGCTGGCCCACCTCGCTCTGCCTCTTCCTCAGGCTGGCTGCCGCTGGCTCCTCCCTGTCTATCTCTTGGCAGGTGCACGTGTGTGGAATGCACTCTGTGCGTGTTTCTTTTTTCCTCAAGAATTCTTCTGTGATTCCTAAGGACCCAGCAACCTGAGAGGAGGTGTGAGAATAAGAGGCCTGCGTCTGAACCTGTAAAGTCCCTCTGCACAGCGAGGTGCTGCCTGAACACTGAGAAAAATGAAGAGTTGGCAGAGAAATGGGTCATTGCCAGGGCCAGGTGTGCTGTGCCAGCAGGTCAGAAGACACTGACAAGGGTTTTAAAAAAATTAAAGCACTCTCTCTAGTGTCACTACAAGCTCAACAATGTTAGTCTGACACCAAGGTCGTCTCTTTGCCTGTTATCCCTCCTTTTTTGAATTCTCACTGTTACCTTCAGAAAAATAATCCTGCCTGTTCTGGAACCACATCTCCTTTCCCGGTCGGTGGACAGGACCTGGGGTTGGGAGGCTAGGAGCCTGAGCTGGATCCCAGCTTCTCTGCTCACAGCCTGGGTGACCTTGACAACCACCCATCTGGACTCCAGCCACTTGGAGGGATTTTGTGAGGATTACATTAGATCCCACATGCGAAGCAGCAGCTGTAAAGGTCATAACCAACAGCTACCGGCATTCATGCAGGGACACTACGGAGAGAACACCGAGAGCATGAGGGGCAGGGCAGGGCAGGGCAGCAAGGGCAGATCAAGGTCAGAGGAGAGAACAGGGGTTGGCAAGTTTAGCATCTACCGACCTGGCTGTCCCCTTGCAAACTGTGCCAGGACTTAGAGGCAATGGACAGTGGGGACGCGGCGGAGTCTCTTGCTGGACTCAGCAAGAGGCCCCTGGATGATCTGACCACATGGTGCATGCTATGCCCAGCAAAGGATTTTATCCAAAGTAAGTCAAACCATGTCTTTTTCAAAACATTTCTGGCAAGGACCCAATACAACTAAAGGCAATTTGATGACAATGGCATGGAAATGAGAAATTTGTAGAAACCACCACAAACAATAACTGTTGGTCTCTGCATAACCCATCCCCACAAACCTACATAATGAAGAAAACCCTACTAGCCAAAGCATTAACCGTGCTCATCAGTGAGGGGGGATTATGGTGATGTCGATTTTATTTGAGCTTATCTGCATTTCTGAGTTTCCTGAAGAAAGCTCTCAGCACCTTCATATGAAGAGAAAAGCCTGCACTTGATGGGAAAGAGCTAGAGAGCCGTTGACAACGACGATGTCACTACAGAAACACGTTCTCCTGAACGACACCCCTCCTTCCGCGGGCTCTGTGGGAACGCCTCCCCTGTGGCCTGTTACCTTGTCATCGTTTATTTCCAGGGGCTCCTGAGAACACAGGCCAGGGCTCTGGAGGTAATCCTGACACATTTTCTTAACCATTTTATGCAACTCTTCAAACTCCTTGTACACAGCTGGGAACACAGGCTTGGCTAGGTGACCGCTTTCAACCTTAGGATAAAGATGACAGAAACGTTTAAACCGAGGCAGTGAGACGAAAAATACAGAAGGAAATTTAAAGGAGGGAAGGATACAAGTTCCTTGGCCCTCAGCCTAGGCCTGTCAATGGCAGGCATTTCCTTCACTCCTGGGTGAGAGCCTACTGTGTGCCCAACACTGTTCATGGGTGACACCAGGATGGGCCTGGGGAGAGGAGGGGATGGCAGAAAGCTCTGAGGACAAGTGTGTTCCCAGGCCTGCAGCAGGAGGGCTGGGCCTCCTCTCCCAGGGAAGGGGTGTTGGCGTGTGCTGGAAGTGTGCAGTGTGGGTGCAGGCGCCTCCTGGAAGTATGCAGTGTGGGTGCTGGTGGCCCAGGCTGCAGCATCAGAGTGGGCTCACCAGGGTGCAGAGCCAGGGTGGGGGAGGCCGGCGAGGGTGGATGCCATGGCTGTGGGCCCGCCCAGGTTTGCTGCTACCCTTCTGTGCCTCCCACACAAGGTTACAACTCTGTCCCCAAGGGAAAAGACTCCAGAAGGCCTCACTCCTAAACTACACACGGAGGATGCTTTTCTAAATGACTCCTAATTGTGCCCTAGATGGTTTAAAACACAAAGACGACTCACCTTCACCAGAAGAAACTCATACACGGTCACCGCCTGGGCCAGCTGAGGCAGAGCCAGCTCCACAAGGTCCTCCCGGCTACACTGGTGGAGAATCTACCAGGAGAAAGCGTTTCACCTCTTTGAAAGCCCACGAGACTCTCCCACAGCCAACAAGCTGGCGCAACAAAAAACATAAAAGAGAAAGTTCCCCCAAATCTCAGTGATGAAGCAACTCTACACTATAAATGTTCTGCTTCATTAAATATCTCACTTGATTCACCATTAACAAGTCCTGGACTTGAGCTTGAGTCCCTGTGACAGCCCTGAGCACAGAGTGGACACCGGGTTCCGGATAAGGGCACAGCGATGGGAAGCGCTCTCCCTTCTCCCCAAGGCTCCAGGGCTCACCAGCCAACGCCAGGGACCAAAATGCAAACAAGTCCAGAGGCAACCCAGTCAGGACACCAGCGCTAAAGGACAGGTGACAGATGACATGTGACAGCAGAGCTGGGTGTGTCTTGGGGAGAGATCCAGGGAGGGCGCAGTCCTCAGGGCTTAGTGACTGCTGGACACAGGGAGGAGTGTGTGAAGGGGAAGGGGTGCCATGGATGCTCTGGGTACCCAGCTGAGCTCGGGGCAGACCCTTGGCCAGGAAGGGTGGACAGGAAGCCAGCTGTGGGATGTTGGAAATCAGAGCTGAAGCTCCAGAGAGGTCTGCACAGGAAGTACGGATGTGGGAGTCAGCCGAGGGAAGGGAAGGTGAGGAACCAGGAGATGGGTGAGATCACCCAGGGCAGCAATAAGGTGAAGGGGGAGCAGGGAGTCCTGGAGACAGAAAGCCTCATGGGGCTCAGGGAGGTTGGAGGAATGATCAGTGAGGAGCTGCAAGGGCTGGAAGGGGGTTCGGAGAACAGCAGTCAGTCAGAAAAGGGGGACCTTTCATTTGCAAGACGGGGTGTTTAATTATGACATGCAAAAGCCCTTAGAGGAAAATGACCAGCTGGTTTCCAACACCCCTCAAGGTGTGGGAGGTCGGAATGTGGTTGTCACCTTGCCACACCCTGGCCCAGAGCAGACAGGGCACCTCCTCAGTCTCCGCCTCACACGCATGCCTGCCTGGCAGCTGTCACTGGCTTGGCTGTCATCTTTCCCCAGAGTGGGGGGCGGTCTACCTTGTGCACACTGTCCCCTCCACACCCAGGACAGGGCCTGATGTGTGGGGGACAATTAGTATGCAAACTAATGCCCATTTCTGAGGGGCTCTACTCTGAATCAGTGATCCTGCTCAGAGCACTCCCCAGCTCTCTGGATGCCGAGTGTGGGACTGTAAACCAGCTGATGGGGTCTTTGTGTTAGAGTCCCCACTACACTGAGCAGATGGCCTCACTGGTCTCAGATGCTCGACTGCACGTAGACATCGAACACCTGGATTCAGACTCTGGCTCTGCCACCTGCAGGATGACCTTTGGGAAAGTTGTTGGCCTGAGTTTCAGGTTCCTCAACTATTAAGTTGAGATGTTAATCATCACAGAGCCAGTGAAATGAAGTACAGCTGGCACTCAGCACGAGGCTCAGTTTAGCGGCTGAGCTGCCACAGAGGGAGCCTAACCCCATAGATGGTGGCTAATTCAGTGCTAGTAAGTGAGTCAAGCCAAGGTCTACCTCCCTCCTACTCCTAAAAACCAGTCATCCTGGATTAATTAACAAGCTCCCTGCCCCCACCCAAAAAAGCTTATTCACCAGGGTTTACCTTTCCCACTAGAACTGTAACCTCATGGAGCTTCCCCGGAAACCCCCTCCTTCGGAACTTCTGCCCCAGGTGTGTGGCAGTTCCCAGGACCTGGGCCCTGACGGCCACTCCTGTGGGGGCCACAGCTCCATAACTGATCTCTCGCTCTCTTGTTGGCTCTCACTTCTCGTTTGAGAAGTTACCAGGCAAATAAACACATAAATACATCCTGGCCAAACTAGGTAAGTCCCACTTTTCAAAGTCAATTCAACTAAATTCACTATACCTACTTTCATGGGGCTGGACTGGAGATTCCTGGGCTTGAAACCTGAAGCACACTTTTATATCCTGAGACTTTTTACAAAACAAAAACGATTTCTGTTGTTTTCTCAATGGCTTCCATGAAAACGTAGGTTATAATTTTTCCAAAACGTTTGAAGGCAAGCAGCTCTTGCTACAGTTAAGACACTCTGGTCATTTCAAGTGGGTAAACCTAAATTACTTCAGGTAACACTATCCTTGAACTTGTCGCACACTTCATCCAAGTACATCCCAAGTGAACCATATAGTTACCTGGGTATTTTACTTCTGAATTCAGAAGCCTAATACTGCATTGATACGTACACCGGACAGGGGTCAAGAACCGGGTCTAAGATCGGCGTACCTCCTTGAGCCTGGCTCTGCTCCCGGCTGCTCTGCTCCGCTCCGGGACAGCTGCACTGGGCTCTGCAGGGACCCTGGAGTCGCTCCTTTTAGGTCCCAGGTGTCTCTCTGATCCCGAAAGGGCCGAATAGCTTCCATCTGCTGGTTTGGACACCAATGCCTCTTCAACTTCCAAAGACTGACTGTTCTAGGTGGTGTCGGAAGGGGAAAAACCAGGAGAGAACATGCCCAGTGTGTCACTGCCACCCCAGGAATCACCCTGTGGGCCACTGCCCCCAACCCGACCTCTCCCAAGACCACTGTCATGTCAGCCAAGTGCAATCTTATGAACAGATCTGCAGGACTGGCCCTGCGTTCCTGGCGAAAGCGCTTCCTAAACCATGCCATGCCAGACAGAAGACACGCCTTGCTTACCTGGCCGTGGGGCCGACAAGGTGGGGCCTCAGGTCCCCCAACACGACGACTTGGGTGCTGCTTGAGCCTCTGTCTGAACCCCCCTCAAACACCATAAAGGATATTTTAAGGGTGATAGGCAGCAACAAGGACCCCACCACCAGATGGACACGTTACCTGCAGGCCACCCTGTGCTGACCGGGCCCCTTCCTCACTCAGGAGAGCTGGCATGGACAGCCCCAGGGATGTGAGGCCGCTGGGCCTGCCCTCCGCCAGGCCCTGGGTCACGCCCCCCTTGGCTTTCTCAGACGGCAGCATCTCAGGCTCCGGCTGGCTATGGCCTGGATTAAGTTTGAAATGCCGGGCCAGTCCCCCCTTTCCTATGTATGACTTGTCACACATCTGACACTTGAAGGTCTTGGGCCTCAGGGAGCAGCTGGGCAGGTCAAAGAGCGCCTGCTTCTCCCGCTGCTCTTCGTCTTCTCCCACACTCAGTTCCGAGTAGTCGTCTGAGTCGGATGGGTGACCATCGGCCAAATCCCCCATTCTTATGAATTTATAATCCTTGGCTTTATACTTGGGGGGTCGAGATATCCGCCCGGAACGTGTTTTCACTTTTAAAGACTTTTTCAGTTTCTCAGTGTGTTTTGTATGCAAGTTGGAACTAAATAAATTTGCTGAACTGGATGAAACAGATGTCGTTGCAGGCAGGTCGGAGGCTGACCGAGGGGCCAAAGTGGTGCCAGGTACATTTGGAGCCTGGTGGGGCAGGACTCTCTTCACACGAACCTGCTGGAGGGTGGGCAGTGGTCTCTGCACGAGCACCTGAACAGGAGGTTGTGAGGGGTTACTCAGGAGACGAGGCTGTGGCTGGGTGCCCAGATGGGGCTGTGCCCCGAGCAGCTGAGGGCTGGTGATGCTGAGCCCCAACACGCTGCAGTGCCTCCCGGGTGGCTGGCTCAGCCTGGCTGTCCTGGACTGGGTGGTGGTCAGTTGGGGCATTGGCCTTTCCTGACCTTTCGTTTCTCCAGATGTTACCTTGACACAGATGGTTTTCAGTGGCTTAAAGAGAAAAGAAGTACTTAGCTTAGCAATGTTTCTGCAATTCTGATCTCATCTTAAATCCAGTATTGAAATTTTTTTCTACATTATAAAATGCACCCTGGCCGTCGTGGCTGAGTTGGTTGGGTGTTGTTCCGTGCACTGAAAGGCAGCTGGTGTAATTCCCAGCCAGGGCACATGCTGAGCTTTCAGGCTCAATCCCTGGTGGGGGTGTGCAAGAGGCAACTGATTGATGTTTCCGTCTCAGATCGATGTTTCTCTCTCTCTCCCTCTCTAAATATCAATAAAAAATCTTTTAAAAAAAATATAAAATGCATCTCTTATATAAAAGTTTGTGTAATAAAGGGTGTCCCAATAAACTGTATACTCACACTTTAAATAATTATAAAGGTAGTGTTTATTCAAATACATTTCATTTTCAAAATTGAGCTATCAGCTGTTAGTGTGTATACATTTTTGGGGGACACCCTGCATATCTGTATCATGTATAGTGATGTTTCTGAACCTTTCTGACCAGACCACAATGATATATTTTACATCACATCCATAGGTTAGTGCAGAAACATTTGCATACATAAATAATATTAAAAGTATGTGTGAACCAAACCCTTTTGTTTTAGGATTTCTACAGTGCAAAAATGGCCTAAATTTTTAATCTGCTATGGACACTAGTTTACTGTGTGGGTATTACACTTGATACTTTGTTGTAAGTTCATCAATTTGCAAACTTTTACTAAATATCTCTGGGTGCCAACATATAAACATAAGCCAAGTCCTGTCTCACCCTTGAGGAGATGGGTAGTTTCCCCTGTGCTGCCTCAGTCACCTGCAGACCTGCTGAATCAGGATCTCCTGCCCCGAAATCTGTACTTTCAAAAGCTCTGCAGCTGATTCTAAAGGCAGACTAGGTTCCCTAAGGAATGTGGACAGGAAAGCAATGCCCCCAGGGGAGCAACAGGTGCAGTAAGAGAGACAGAGGGAGGGGGGCAGGGACAGCCCAGGATTGGTGGGCTTCCCAGAAGAGGTGACCTCTGCAGGGGGTCTGGGGGCTGAGTAGAATTTCTGCCAGGTGGAAAGGTATCCTAGGTGCAAGGAAAAACAACAGGGCATGGTGTGTTACAGGAAACTAGAAGTGTTTCTATAGGGCAGGGACAGGAAGGATGGGGAGGGGCAGGAGCCAAAATCTGACCCATGGGAGTGTGTGTCCACTGGGTCTGTGCTTTCTGACCCCCACCATCCCTTAGAGAACCTCATTCTCTAAATGCACATCCACCCCACTCCCAAAATGCCTCTCCTCTTCCACATTTCTTTTTTTTTTTTTTTAATATATCTTTATTGATTTCGGAGAAAGGAGAGGGCGAGAGATAAAAACATCAATGATGAGAGAGTCATTGATGGAGCCCACAACCCGGGCATGTGCCCTGACCGGGAATCGAACCCTGATTGCCTGGATCCCAGGTCAATGCTCAACTGCTGAGCCATGCCCGGCCGGGCTACATTTCTAACTGGCACCCACCCTTCCGAATCTAGTTCAGATGCTACCTCATCCAAAGTCACTTGATTCCCTGAGCCAGCAATAACCTCTCTTTCTCTAAATGCACTTAGATCTTCACCTGTGTCTGTAGCTTTAGCTTTCTGACCGTGATCAGGCATTATCTGAGTCCTGTTTTACCTCCTGGGTTAGATTATAACCTCCTTGGGGGCAAGGTCCACATCTGGTTTGCCTTTGTGGCCTTTGTGACACAGGGGGCTCAGAGGATATTAGCTGCATAGGCCGCACAATTATGTTATTGTGAATTCAGGTAGAACTCATATCATCCCAATTAGCTACAGAACACAATCGTGCCACCTAACTCGAGTTAAGTTTGCTTTCATTTGATGGAAAATGTCATTTTTGGACTTTTTCCTAAGTTCCCACACCAAACCCAAAAAGCTGTGGCCACATTCAACAGGCCCTGGAGTGCAGCCACACCTCGGGGATGTTGAGCAGTCACTCACCCTCTCTGGGCTTGTTCCTCCTCTGTAAAATGCTGATAAATACTTTTGTATGGCTGCTGAGAAATACTCTGTACCCAGCACAGTGCCAGGCGCAGAGCAGTGTCTCTGCAAACGGCAGCCATCACCCCTGTGACCACAGACTTGCTGTGCCCGGCTCATGCGGGAGGCTTTTATTTCCTCAGCTGAGTAGGAGCCAGAAAACTCATCCAAGGAGCCATCCCTCTGGCAAACAAGGAAACCGAAGATCAAAGAGGTTCCCTCTGGCAAACAAGGAAACCGGAGATCAAAGAGGTTGAGTTACCCAAGGTCACTCCTTTAAGGAGTTTGGGCAGAATCAGACTTGTCTTCTCATTTGGCAAGAAACCTCTCAGTCTTGATCACCGACTGGGTACAACTCTAAGCAGCCAAAAATCACCCGTGGGGGGGAGGGGGGCAAAGCAATGCGGGTGGATTCTATTCTCTGCCTAGTTCTTGGGATGGGGAACCTTTTTCTGCCAAGGGCCATTCGGATATTTATAACATCATTCATGGGCCATACAAAATTATCCACATAAAGATTAGCTATGGCCGGGCCGGGTGTGGCTCGGCGGCTGAAGGTCGACCGAGGATCCCGGAGACCGCAGCTCGATTCCCGGTCGGGGCACGTGCCCGGGCTGCGGCTCGGTTCCCAGCTGGGGGTGTCCGATGATGACTTTCTCATCACTGCTGTTTCTCTCTCGCTCGCTCTCCCTTCCTCTCTCTGAAATCAATAAAGACATATTAAAAAAAAGTGAAAACCACTATGGAAAACAGTATGGAGTTTCCTCAAAAAATTAAAAAAAGAACTACCACAGGACCCAGCGATTCCACTTCTGGGTACAATGCCAAAGGAAACGAAGACAGGATGCAGAAGAGATGTCCACACCCTGTGTTTGCTCAGCGTCATTCGCAAAAGCCAAGACGGAAACCGCCTGTGTCCGTCAGCGATGAATGGCTGCAGAGGACGTGCTGCACACATACAGTGGAATACTACTCAGCCCTGACAAAGAAGGGAATCCTACTATTTGTGACATGGGTGGATTTTGAGGGCATTATATTAGGTAAGTCAGACAGAGAAAGACAACTACTACCTGGCATCACTTACAGGTGGGATCTAAAAAAGATGAACTCGTACAAACAGAGTAATCTGGTGGACACCTGGGCTTGAGGGTAGAGGAATGGGGGAGAGGTTGAAGGGCACAGACTTGCAACTAGGAGAGAAATAAGTCTTGGAGACCTGACGCACGGCACAGTGATTATAGTCAATAACGTTGTGTCATAAACTTCAAAGTTGCTGAGAGACTAGATCTTACCTGTTCTCGCCACTGAAAAGCAATAGTACCTGTGTGACAGGAAGGAGGTGCTGGCTAACGCCTGGCGGCAATCATGCTGCGATATGTGACTGTATCAGGGCAACATATCCATGTGCACAACGTTAAACTAGCACAATGCTGTGTCAGTTACATCGCAATTAAAAATTGCGAAAACCATTACTTGTGGGCCGCACAGAAAATGGGCCAGGGATGGGGTTTGGGCCTGCTGTGGTCTGTCGACCCCCGTCCCAGGTTTATTGCTCTAGGGCAGGGCAGGACAGAAAGAAAACAAGGAACTCAGTGTCTCAAAACGGACTCCGGTTAGGCACCTAGAGCGAGTCAGTGTTGACATCAGCCCGGTCCTGGGGGAAACGATTTCCCAGCTTCCTTCAGCTTCCGTTAGCGTTTGCAGGGCCAGCTGGCTCTTGCCTAAGGGCCGGACCAGAAGGGGCAGTGTCCCCTTCCAGCACCCTGAGGACAGCGGGNCGGGCGCGCCGGAAGTGCGTCACCGCGGAAAGGGGCGGCTACGGGGGCCCGCGGGGCCAAGGGGCTCAGGAAGGCGACCGCGGAGTGTGCGTCGGTGGGCGGAGCCTAGGTGGCCCCGCCCCCCTGTGCGTCACAAGAGAGAGGACCGGCGGGCAAGACTTAGTTAGCCTTCCGGGGTCGCCTCCGGCGGGAGCTGTCCAAGGTCTCCCGCGCGCCCGTCGCCGGGGTTCCAGAGCCCCGGGCCTGTCGTCACACCACCCAAATGTTATCAGCAGCGCGTGCATCGGTCACCTGAGGGTCGTGGCAGGACTTGTAGGTTCCTGGTCCCCCCTCCAGACCTTCTGAGCTAATAGATCTGGGAGGGGATTCAAAATGAGCATATTTAATAGTGTGCCTCCAGCCCCCAAAATGTCCCCAGGGCGGCCCCCCCCGCCCACTCGCCCGGACTGCGTGCCCCGTGAGGGTGGAGGTGACAGCGACTCTCTCGGTGCCCGGCGCACGCTCGGGGGCTGAGCGCTGGGCGGGGGCATGGGAGGGAGTGCGTGAGCGGGGCAGCGAGGGAAGCCCCCACCCGGATTCACAATCAGTCCCCGGCTCTGAAGGCTTTTCAGAGACGGCTAGAGACCTGGCTGGACCCCGATAGAAAACACACTGACCTTTAAAAGGCTGCTTTTGTTAAACTAAACACGCCTGCAGACTCGAGCCGTGAGTGAGACATTAATCCAGCTGTCGCCTGGCTGCAAACTGCACGACCAGGAGGGAGAAGGGAAGCCTGAGATTTCTCTGAAAAGCTAAAATGTAGCAAGAGGCCCTGGCCCGGCAGCCGTCGGCGGGAGCATCGTCCCGATACGCTAAGATGGCAGGTTCGATTCCCCAGTCGGGCACATACAGGCTAAAAATCAATCAATAAAATATTGGGGGGGGTAGCAAGAGAGGGCTTACCAGGGGCTTCCACAGCCCGACGGGTTGGCATTTGTGTCTTTCCCTCACTGCGGCTCCGACGTAGACGGCGCGGGCGCGCCCCGGGCTCCTTAGGCTCTGTCCATACACATTGCGGGAGGAAACCACTCCAGGAATGACTCCCAAGCCTGGGCTTCAATTCTAAGGACCCCGGGGTCCCCACCGAGGGCCCTCCGCAGCTCTGCATTGGGGAGCACCTGGCGGTAGCCTCCGAGAGCGTCGTAAGTCGGCCCGAAGGGCGCCTGCGGGGTGCTGCGCGAATTCGTGGGTAACCAGTCACCGGGCCGTGCGGGCGCGGGGTCCCGCCGTGTCTCCCCACCGGCCGCCCGCGACCACTTTGGGGTGGAGTACGGAACGATTCCGTCTCTCTCTCCTGGTCACCCGGGGCTTACAGCTCCCCAAAATCTTATTTTTAGATAATCGTAAAAATTACTAATAATAGGAAACTTTTAAAAAAAAAGCAACCTTGGCCCGTACGGGGATCGAACCCGCGACCTTGGCGTTATTAGCACCACGCTCTAACCAACTGAGCTAACCGGCCGGCCGGGGGCAGAGCGGCGCCTCTGCTACTATGAGGATCTTGCGCCTGCGCCGCGCCCGCCGCCCCGCCCCTCGGCCGAGGAAACACCCGAGACCCCGGCGCTTCCCGGGAGAGCGGAGGCGGCCCCAGAGCCCGCGGAGCCTTCCACGGGGCAAATCACGTTGCACTTTAGAGCCTCAGCTCGCGAGAAAAGTTTTCAAATATTGCAACTCAAGGCTGTTACCTCCGAGGATCTCTGCAGCTTGGAACTTCGTGTATCCAGAGCTTTTGGTGGCTAAATGAAGCTTAGAAAAGAACAGCAAACCCGAAAAATGACAAAAGAGCCACCGACTTTCCCAGCCGCCGCTGGGGCCTTGGCATCCTTCCTGCCTTTTTCTTTTTTTCACTGTACAGGCGTGTAAAGGATGTCCCCAAAAATGTACACACACTTTAACAGCTGACAGCTCAAATGATGGTTCTTGCTTTTCAGATTTAGCCCATTGAAATATGTAATTATTCAAAGTGTGTACATTTTTGGGGATACCCTGTATTTATATGTGTGTGTGTGTGTGTATACATATTTCAATGTAATCTTGCTTAAGAGATACAATTTTTAATCTTCCTTTTTGTACGTAATATTTCTATCATAAGCCTATTCCTAAATAATGGCAAATGTCATTTTAAATGGTTCCTTCATGCCTCCTCCCCCTTTTTTACTGTCTGGAAAATGCCTTCATTTTGCTCTCTCGTTTAGCACGCGAATAAATCATGAACTAGCTGCTGGGTGGGCAACTGGCAGTATTTACTCCGAAGGGATAGGGCCTGTGTGCAATAAAATAAAGAAAAAAAGATATGTTGGTAGACAAAACTCAAAACGTTTCACTTCCCCAGCCTGTATGTCCCGGGAGCCACCGTCTCTGAGAGGCTACTTGCACTGCCGTGGCAGGTGCTCCAGGAGAAGGGAACAACCCGCTTTCCACACTGTCCACTCCCCTGGTCTGAATGCTCCAAAAAACTGCTCCCAAGCCAGTGTATCATCAGGGTTCCCTGTCGCAAGTACAAAAAAAGCCAAGTCTTGCTAATAACAGAACAGATTTAGTTGAAAGGCTGTTAGGTAGTGCACCCCACCCCCAGGAAGTCTGGAGACCCAGGTTCAGACAAAGAGCCACACAGTGAAAAAGTCATTAAGCTTGACAGTGCCCTAACCCCAGGGAACCAGCTGTGAGTAAGAGAGGCCTAATGCTGTCCCCTGGGAGCACCCAGTCTAGCAGGTGGCGTGAGCGAGGAGAGGCTCGGGGGTGGTGAGGGCAAGCAAGGCCTGCTGGTCATGGAAGGCTGGGCAGGCTCCTGAGACTGGGACACTTGACACTTGACCGTGTTCTGAAGGACAAGCATGGGTAAGTGTAGGCCAAAGGGGGTAGTGCCCTCAGGGCAGAGGGAATGCCAGTGATGGCAGGCATCCTGTCCACTTGCTTACACCCAGTGCCCAGAGCCTAGCACACTGTCTAGAATAGTCTGTGTTTAATAATAAGCATCAGATGGATGAATGAGCTAATTTAAAAATCATCTTACACTTTAAAACAAAGTCATTTCTTTGTTCAAAGTCTCCCCTCTGGCCCTGTCCTGATAGGATTGCCAGATTTAGTAAATAATTTATGTGTTATATAATATTTGGGACATACTTATACTAAACTGGTATTAGTTGTTTATCTGAAATTCAGCTTTAACTGGGAATCCAAACATGGTTTGGGTGTGAGGGGCCAGATGTGATGAGAGGAGGAACAGAGCAGCTTGGGTGGGGGGGATGGTGAACTGTCTGTGGAGCATTTTGAGTTGGAGGTGTACTCGGGACATCCAAGCTGGAAACAGGCCTGGAAGTTCCACGGAGAGGCTGGGCCAAAGGTGTTTGGGGCCTTCTGGGAAGATTGCAAATAAAGCTGTGGGTGTGAGCCCAGCTGGTGTGAGCTCAGTGGTTGAGCATCCACCTATGAACCAGGAGGTCACTGTTCAATTCCCAGTGAGAACACATGCCCAGTAGGGGGCGTGCAGGAGGCAGCCGATCAATGACTCTCATCATTGATGTTTCTCTCTCTCCCTCCCTCTCTCTGAAATCAATAAAAGACATATTTTTAAAAAATGCTGTGGGTGTGTATGAGCTTGTCCGGAGCTAGAGGAGGGGGTGATAGAGGGTTGGGTGCACCCTAAGGTGAGCCACATAGAGAACCTAGACCCCAAAGGGATGGATATAGCTAGTGTGGAGACTGAGGGAGGACAATGCCTGAGAGGTGCCATGGGGCTGAGAAGTTGTGAGGAAGGCAGACCAGTCGACAAGCCCCTGCCAAGACCCTTCAGGGTCAGGGGGTGGTGTGTGACCCAGGATGAAAACAGCTAAGATGGAGGCAGGCAGATCCCTGACCCTTCCTCAGATTCAGGGGACCTATAAAATGTGGGATGTGGAGAGAGAAGGGGTCAAGCCTGTACCATAGGCCCTGCTGGTTTCCTTGGATTAAGTAGGCAGCCCAGAGGAGCCAGGGAGAGTCAAGGAAGCCTGCAGTCCAGACAAGGGGTCTAAAAGCAGCTGACTTCAGGCCCAAAGCTCAGGAGTGGTCAGTGCTAGGGGAGCAGGGTGGGGTCAGCCCTGAAGAGGGGGCATGGAGGGAGATGCCTCGAAGGTGGAGCCCAGGAGTGAGCACACAGGAAGCTTTCAATGAATGTTTGTGCGAGGAAGGAGTGAATGACTGGGCCTGGCAAGCGTGAGCACTGGAGAGCTGTCCCAGAGGGAAGAGAACCATGAGACAGAGGCTGAGAGCTCCAAGCCAAAGGCGCGGGGGACGCAGCCGGCGGTGCCACTGTTCAGTTTGGCTCAAAGCATTGCTGATGGCAGCTCCTGCTGAGTGGTTGGCTAGGACAGACTGCAGAACCTCGGGAAAGAAGGGGAGACGTGCCACAAGGAGACACCTGTGCAAAAGAGGTTCAGTGAGGAAGGAAGGGGATAAGGAGGCAGCAGCTGGACAGAAACCCATTAGAAGACTGGGTCAGCTGGGGACATTTACATGCCTCCCTCCCTCCCTCATCTTCAAGCATCTAGTCTGAGGCCTCCAGGTCTAAACTCCAGCTCTGGCTCTCCCTGGTGGAGTAGCCTTGGGAAAATCCAAAGGATCACTTTAGGCTGAGCTCCTGTTGTGATACAAATCCCACATTAAAATGGGATTCAACTTACACAAACTTAAACGCAGGTCTGGTAAAAAGCTGCTGCATGGTAAACAGGAAAACCTGGTTTTCACATTCTCTGACCTCGAGTCAAAGGGAGCTGTAGATTCCAGGGGCCCGGAGACTGGGGGCCTGACACAGGAGGCCCCGAGAGCCTGGCGTCCCGTCAACACTGCCAGCGACGAGTGGTGAGGAAAACTAGGACTCAATTCTATTCTCTCATTTTATTACAATCCCATTCTTGTGTCCAGAATCAGTGGCTATTTAATACACATCAAAAGCACTTATAAAATTGACCACGTTACCATGCCCATTTCCTTCTCAGTATATTAACTCAAAAGGAAAAAAATCTTTATAAAATCAAAATCACCAGGTTAAGTACATCCAGGAGGAGCACCTTTAGTAAACAGGAAACAAAATGTGTCAGGAACCTGGCCAAATACACACAGCAGCAGGTGAGACTCCTGATAGCAAAGAATGACTCCCAATGGGACATGAATATACGGTGTCCCAAAAAGGTACACAATAGGTGAGATGCCTGATGGAATATATAGGGTATCCCCAAAAAGGTACACACAGATGACACTCCTGATGGAACAAAGATAAGGTTTCCCCAAAAACTGTATGCACAGGTGAGACTCCCAATAAAGCATACATACAGGGTGTCCCCCAAAAGGTTCACAGAGGTGACTCTGATGGAACATAAATGTGCACACTTTTACAGTTGCTAACTCATTTATTTTCACTCCTTTTCAGGTTTAACGAATCTGAAGTAATGGGTGAAGCCAGACTAAGCTTTGAACAGAGAAAACTTACCCACTAGATGCTTTATGGGGATACACAAAAGATAAAGTTTATATAGCCCCAAACTGGCAACAGTTGAGGAATCAAGGGCAGCTGTTGAAAGAGAAGGCACACCCCAAGCCGAATGGAGTGATTCCTGAGATTCCTTCGCTTCGTGTCAGTTCTGGTCCAGGAACTGCCGATAATGTGAAGGAATCGCAAACGTTGGGAATCGTTTGGTTCGGTGCTCGTGTGCCTTCTCTTTCAACACTGCCCTTGATTTGTTGACTTTGCCGGTTTTGTGCCGTAAACTTTTTTTATGTATCTTCATAAGAAAATCTAGTGGATTTTTCTTTGTCCAAAGCACAGGCTGGCTTCACTCATTATTTCAAATCTGTTAAATCTGAAAAGGAGTGAAAACTGAGTTATAAGCTGTTCAAGTGTGTGTACATTTTTAGGGGACACCCTCTAGATCACCCTCAAAGTTCACGTATTTCACGAGTATGTACATACATCTCATATATTAAAAGAAATTTGGTTTCTATTGTAAGGAGCTATTCAGGAATAATAAGTCAACATCTCTCCTGGGATGGGGACATTGTGGCACTGCAGCCACATTACTAATCAGGCGTGCATCTCACCTCGCACACACTCCCCTCTACACACTATGTACACTTGCTGGGAGGGGGCTAGGCAGGACTTCTCTCTGCCCCACCGCCGGGGCCCTGCAGATCCAGTTTGTAAAAATTGAGCCAGGGCAGGCAGGTCCTCGTGTGGCCCCAAGAGCCAGCAGGAGAGTGGCAAAGGCCTGAGGCCACCTTGGCCCTGGGTTAAGGGATGTACATGGGAGCCTAGGAGTGGCTCAGCAACCCTTTTGGTTAACAGTGAGCCTGACTCTAGGGTCCACCCAGGGCCTCAAAATCTTTGTTGTTTGTCTGGTCTGGGCTTCTCCTAGGATCCTATAGCTCCTGGGAGAGGGAGCAGTTTCCAGACCCATGGGGGCTCAGCCATGTGAGTGTGCACTTATTGGTACACGCATGCACACGCATGCATTAACGGAGGTCAACAAGTTGCAAACAAGTGCTCTGCAGGGGCACACTCAAACAGTGTCTGCTTTAGGGACCCAGTTTTGTCCTTGCATTATGAGCATCCCCAGGCCACAGTGGGTCTGTTCTAAACAAACAGTCCTGGAGGCTGCAGGTGTTCCACACCTGGGACTGTCACCCTTGAGGGCCTGGCGGTATCTTCACTAACAGAACAAAGGTGAGAAATGCAGAGGAACCCCTTCCTCAACACCACCACAGGCAGACAGAGAGAAGGCCGGTGTCGTCAGGAGGCGTCGGTGGGTTTTAGGCCCAGAAGCTGCTGGTCCAGTAGACAGTCACCCACAGCCATACTCCATACTCGCAACCACGCGGTCTGCTAGTCCCACCCAGCTCAGGGATGAGCTCTGGCTGGCAGGTGTGCAGGATGTTGGGGGCATCGTGGCCTGCTGGGGTCTGCCCAGGGATAGGCTCTGGGGATGCTGCGCCTGCCTCAGGGGACACTGGGTGGGGCATCGGTCTCAGTAGGTCTCAGGTTGGGCTTCACACACTGCTCTAGCAGCTTCCCCTCGGAGGTGCTGACAGCCATCCTGATGACGGGGCCACAGAGCTGGTGGGCATCTGGCCCCTTCTCTCCTGGCAGGTAGTCCTGGCTGGCCCCCGATGGTGGGGAGATCATTGGCCTTTCTGAAGACGTCACATAGTAGGTCAGCCCTGCAGTTGGGAGTGTCCTACAGAGAAGAGAGGAAGAACTGAGAGGCGTGAGCAAGGGCTACAAGGGTCTGCGGAGAGGACAGTCATCGGTTTCCATCTGCTCCTCATTCCCACCAAGCACAGAGGAAGGCAGAGAGCTCACTAGTAGGACTGTCCTTTGTTCCTTCTCAGGCCACTTGCTCAGACACCTGGCGAGGGCTTCATCTTAGGCCACAAGGAAGAGAAATGAGGCCAGCAGCTCCTGAAAAGCCAGATTGATGGCACTCAAAGCCGTCACCGCCACCTAGACCTTTCTCTTGATCTGAGAAAGGAGGTGGTGGGAACGGGTGAGACGAGCCACCAAGGGAAACTCAAGGCTGTTCAAATTGACAGAGACACAGTCTGCCCCAAAGGGGAAAAAATCAACCTTCACAGTGACCAGTGTTGGGAACCAGCCATCCCAGCTGCTGTGTACTTGCCTGAGCGTGTCTACAGCAGCCCTCGGGTCAGAGGGTGAGCACCAGCTGCAGGGAGGCGGCACTGCCCCTTCCGGCCTGCAGACCTCCGCTCTGGCCCCCTCCTCCCGCACATGCAGTATCAGGGCCCTGCCCCAGGTATCATCAGTGTCTGCCCCGCTGCACATGGACAGCTGGGGCAGGGACACGTCTCATCATCCCTGCTCACAGCTGGTGTGGAGCTGAGCTGCACTGAGAACTGGGGACACAGCAGGAGATGCTCTGCTTCCCACCCTGCCAAGCAGTCTGTTCTGGATTGACTGGGTCTACATGGCACCCAGGTCCCAAGTGCTGGTGGGCTCTGCAAATAGCAGGCATCTGGAAAACACCTGTTATCAACAGCATGTGGGGGTGAGCCAAAAATACTTGGTTTTCATACAGAGCATAGAAGCAGAACAAGCCTCCCTCTTTGAGAAGGGAAAATCTGAACTAAAAAATCCACCTTTCTCTTTGAAAAGGATGTGTCACTAAAAGGCAACTGCGGTACAAATCAACAGCTCCGAAAATGCCTGTTTCCTCGAGCCCTCACTGCAAACCCCTTCAAGGAATCAGAACTCAGGAAGAAAATCCTTTCCTCAGCTGATGAAGCATGAATCTGGCAGCTCGGTGAAGCTCACGAGAGGGGAGGCCGACTCCTCCTGCCCTGTTATCTCCCACCCAGGGCGAGGAGGACGGGCTCCGTGGTATCCAGCTGTTTCACCACAGAGCCTAGTCTGTCTTTACCCATAAGTTCTAAGTGTCTATGTCTGTGTGGGTCAGTGCCAGGACCATTCATCATTTCAGGCAATGGAGAGGACAGGAGATGACACTCGCACCTACACTTACTGTTGATCACTTCAGAAGCTCAGTCCAATGTGAACTAAGTCTTTAAGTAAAAATTTAGCTTCCCACCCTTCTAGGAGTTTGTTTTACAAAAATTACAAAAACCCAAAGCAAGTTTTAATTTTTGAGAAGACTGGTATAATTCACCATTTCCCTTCTGCAGAAATTTGCAATATGCCTATATCAGATGGCAAGTGTTTCTAACAATTTTTAAGATGAAATTTACAAATTGGAGCTGCTCTGGGCAACTAAACTCCAGGTGAGAACAGCGAGACCTTCCTGCAATTGGTGCTCTCTGCACGGGTCATGAGACCTTCCTTCAAGCAAGAGCAGCCAGAGCCTCCAGAAGTATGGCACTTGATAGGTAGTGACTTCCCCATCACTGGAGGTATGTAAGCAGAAGCTGCATGCTTAGGCCCTTAGGAGGGCTGAGAAGGAGTGTGGATGAACTGTGGGTCCCCCATTCCCACTTCAGCATCACAATTCCACTTGCACCTATTTTGTGTGAGGACTTCCACACAGGACTTAGCTTGAGGGAAAAGTGCTGTTGATGAAAACAGGTCTGAGAATCCAGGCAAAAGGGCACACACACCAACCACTCACTGTGCTGCCTGCAACTGCTGAACTCGAGCTCCAGGGACCACTGAGAGGCTGTCATCTGAATTCTAGCCTAAGATGAAAATAAGGCTGAGAGTCAGGGGACCTGGGACACCCATGGGGAAACTGGAGCCTTCTGCCAGATGGCCACCTCTGACTCTTGTCCAGCACCTAAGCGGTGGTCGTGTCCAGTGCCTGGAGGAAGGAGGAACATGTGAACCATGCCCTTAGGACCTGCCTGTACTTTCCCTCCCCCCATTTCTCCTGCTGGGACAGCCTCTCTCTCCAGACTTCTATTTGACTTAACTTCAAACCAGACTTCAGCCTGTGCAATGGCTGGGACTCCAAATGGAAGCAGTGTCTGGCCTAAGGATAATGCAGGAAAAGGAGCTGCATTAAATCAGAGGGCTGTGAAAGCAATGCTCCCTCGGGGCCCTGTTCTCTTCAGGTGGCTGGAGGAAACAGAAAGAAAGAAACCACCACCTGAGAGAGGATGCTGGGTCCCTAGAGACTGAGCCCTGCACCAGCAGCTCCTAACTGGAAAGAGTCCGGAACCCATGGGCCACCAGTCACTGCTCTTTCCCTGAGGACTACAATGCCCTGTGCCTCAAACCTGCTGGTTTGCCTGGCCAGAGTTTGAGCGTCAAACTATAATCCAGTAGGTCACAGTTCAAATCCTGCCCGGCACACATGCCCAGGCTGTGGGCTTGATCCCCAGTAGGGAGCATACAGGAGGCAACAATGACTCTCATTGTTGATGTTTCTCTCTCTCCCCCTTCCTGTCTCTGAAATCAATCAAGACATATTTTAAATATATACATATATATGTGACTTAGGTTTTATAACATGACTACTTAGGAAGCCTCTTCACGACCTTCATTTTGCACATACAAAGGAAAGTGGGGAGGAAAAACTGAGCTCTTAAGAGGGCTTAGGAAAACAAACTCAGACTATCTTGGACTATTTTCTTTCTCCAAGGATTGTTATGATGATTATGTCTGTTAAAGGGATAATCAAGAAAGCCTCCAGCAACTCTACAAAGTTAAAAGCAGAAATGGGGAATAAGAAAATAGGAGAGATTCCCTTTTCAGTGATGTCTTAGAAAGCAAATATCAACCTAAGGTGAAACAGCCAACTATATGTCTCATATTTTTCTAAAAACCAGTAATGTCAGTAGGCACTATCTAAAATCATCCAGCACGACTCAGACAGGAACAATGGACAGTGGGTGCACTCAGTGACACCTCTGTACTGTATTGTGGCTCAGCTGTGCCCTAAAAGAGCAGGTCCCATGCAACAGAAAAATGAATGATTTCTGTTTTAAAGTTACAACTGGTGCTTTGCTCTTGTAATGTAAATAACATAAATTACTGTATGAAGAATTAGTTGCTTTTGAAATTTCCTTTAACAAAGACTGTTACTTTATAAAACAAAAAATTATCCTCACCAATAAAACCTGAAAAAAGGGAAATCTAGAACGCCCTAACCTTCTTATTATCTTTTCCCTCCAAAGCACTACATATTGTCACACGTTCACGTACATAAAGAAAGGGGGTAAGAAAATAAAGACAACAGGAAAGAGGACTCTGTTGAAGAGCCTGTACCTGAATTGTTGTACTTTAATTATACCTAAGTTGTTATACATTTTGTAGAAATACATAAAGTGCCAAAAATAGTGTCCTAAATCTCCCCTCCTACAATATCTGGTGCCAAGTATTCAATAGTGCCATGAAACAAATATACTCTTTCAGCCTTAATCAAACAAAAAGGGGTTTGGGCCTGGCCGGCATTGTTCAGTGATTAAGCATCAACCTATGATCCAAGAGATCTCGGTTTGATTCCCAGTCAGGACACACACCTGGGTTTAAGGCTCGATCCCCAGTGGGGGGCATACAGGAGGCAGCCGATCAGTAACTCATCACTGATGTTTCTCTCTCTCTCCCTCCCTCTGAAATCAATAAAGATGTATTTAAAAAGAAAGAAGCGATTAAGACTTAATTTAAAAAAAAAGAGGGAGTCGATCTCAAGCTGGTCTGACAAGTGACAGGAGAAAGTTCCTACTACATGTGAATGGTTGAGATGAATTACTATGTGCAGCACAGGAACGTGGAGGCAGAGTTTACTAGACAGACCCTCTTCTTACCAGGTCAGGCCATCACTTGCACAGTCTGAGTCCTGGGTAAGTACAGATGTCCTGGGCCTGGAACCTACCATCCTTCATCCACCCTGTGGCCACCCATCGCTCAAGAGCCACTCATTCATTCCTCTTCTTTTCTGTTTGTAGACTTAGCCATTCTTTTCAGTAAGAACGCAAATAGGCCCGGCGGGGCGTAGCTCAGTGGTTGAGCATCAACCTCGGATCCAGGGGACCGAGGTTCCATTCCTGGTCAGGGCACATGCCCGTATTGCGGGCTCAATTCCCAGTCGGGGAGTGCAAGAGGCAGCTGATCAATGATGACTCTCTCCTCATTGATGTTTCTCTCTCTCTCTCTCTCTCTCTCCCCCTCTCTGAAGTCAATAAAGATAGATTTAAAAAAAAAAAAAAAAAAAAGCAAACAGTCCAAGTGGGATACCATCAACTGTCTAACGCTTTACTACAGATGACTTTATTTCCAGATAGGCAAGACTGGGAAAACACTAGAACACTTGGAGGGGGAAGGAAGGCCAAACACTAAGCGGGAAGAGGGAATCAAAAGAGGAAAACATCCTTCCTACCTCACCCTCTGGTGAGGTACTGTTAGTAGTGCTTAGTGATGAGGAGGAAACTGTCTTAACAAAAGGTTTTCCCTTGAAAACAGCTGTTTCTCGTTTGTAGAATCTTAAAAAGAGCTAATTTTATGTATCAGCCTAAAAGTTAATTTTAAAAACTGAAGGAGCCCTGGATGGTGTGGTTAAGTGGTTAGAGCATCGGCCCGAGGACTGAGGGGTCACAGATTCGACTTCTGGTCGGAAGCACGCACCTGGGTTGCAGGCTTGATCCCTGGCCCGTCAGGGCTCAGCGGGGCAAGCAATTAATGTGTCTCTCTCACATCGATGCCCCCCGCCCCATCCCTTCCACTTTCTCTGAAAAACCAATGGAAAAAAGTATCCTCAGGTGAGAATTAACCAAAAAAAAAACACCAAACAAACAAAAAAACCCACACATGCACACCAAAAAAAGCCCACAAAAAAACCCTGGAGTTTTAAAAATGACCAACTGTGTCATATGACTCATCCCAATGTAATAAAGATCTAAACAGTAATGCAGATATATTAAGCAGGATAAAGGAGTGGGGTGGGGACAGAGTTCTGTTTTCATTAATAAGAAAAAATTTTAAAAAGCAATGGGGGTTGTGACTGCTACAAGGGGTAGCAGGAGAGCTCCGAGGTGCTGGGCTGGTTCTGTCTTGGCCATGGGTGACGCTGCAGAGCTGCACACAGGTAGACGGGGGAATGAGCCAGGGGATGGAGGACCACGCTCCTGACTGGAGGGCCATCTGGGGCCTCTGCAGGGAGGAGGGCCAGTCCTGCTGCCTCTGCCTCTGGGAATTCTCAGAATAACCACGTGGGCACCTGCATTGCTTTCAAGCTCTGAAGGGCTCCATGTATCAAAGAGAAAAGGTGGGCACCCTGCTCGTCCAGGTCTGGGTTGGGCTACATCAAGATGGGAACAGAAAGGAGTCAATCAGTGGCCGCAGCCCCACCCCCTCACTATGTTTTAATTCTTGGGATAGTTTCTGTATTTTTAGAAAACAGACAATTTCTTTAAGTGACAACGTAACTGAGTTTCCAGGTTACCTGTTAATTAGGCCTTGGACATGCTTCTTTAGCCTCTCTCTCTTTTCCTCTTTTCTGGCATCCACTGTCCCCCCATGTGGCCCTGCACATGAAGGGGATTTACTTTACACCAAGACTCTGCTAGAAAGAACAGAAATAAATTACAAAAATCTACACTGAATAAATCCCACTTTCCCTTGTGCTATGTGCACTGGTAGATGTTAAATCCCCAGGAACTGGCAGAGCTGTAACCACTGACCACGGTGGCTCAACAAACATCAGGCACTTGCTGAGTGCCTACAACAGCCTGGATAAGCACTCCTCTCGGCATCTGTGGGCTCACCATTTGCGTTGATAGCAATATGTTTTCCCCTCTGTAGTTCTCTGACCTGGCTGTGTCCCTCCAGGATCTGGCGACAGAGCCCTACGTTCTACACTTTGCCCAGCTTTAACTTCCGGGGGTATGGCACAGCGGCACAAAAACATCAAATGTAGCACCAGTTTTTGGAGGGACTAAATGGCCATTCCCACTGGTGGTCCTAAGGGGACATCTCCATCCCTGGGATGAAAAGCCTCTGGAGAGGTTTCCCCCTTAACTCTTTATTACGGGAATTAAAAAAATGAAAGTAGACAGAACAGCCGATTTACCACACTCAGCTCAAGCACAAATACATCAAGTGTGGCTCCTGTGGCCCACCCCATCCCATAATTATGCCGAGGGGAGTCCCAGAGAGCTGAGGCTGTTCACTCGATACCTGTTGTGCTGCGGCAACATCCTCTGGGAAATTGTCCCTTTCTTCAACCTCTGCAAACGGACTCTCTTTCCCCCCGTTTCTCCCTCGCCCTCCCCTCTTCTTGCGCTTGTCTCCACTTTTCCTCATGCACGTCCTGCTCCTGTTCGCTCTGCGCTCCGGCCTCCGGCCCCTGCTCATCCTCGTGGGCGTCCTGCTCCCCGCTTGCGTCCTTGGCGTCACTTCCCACGTCGCTTTGGCGGGCGGGCTGTCCTCCTCCTCCTCGCTGCTGCTGTCCCACAGCCACGCCGATCCCCGCACCCCAGGGCTCCCAGGACGGAGTCATCGAGCCTGTCGCGGGGGAAGCTGAGCGGCACGGACCTGGCGTCTCCTTTCCTCCCGCGCTTGTTCAGGCCCAGGCAGCGCTCCAGCCTGCGGATCTCCCGGTCCCCCTCCGCGTTAGCCTCCACGAGCGCCCGTTTCGGGCGGCGTCCGGGGTGGTGGAGGGCCGGGCGCTCCCCGGGCGGCCGGGGCCGGGGTAGGCGGCGGGG